GCTGGGCGGGGAGCAGTACGAGAAGGGCCCCAGCGGGGGGTCTCTCAGGACCTCTGGGGGTTTCCAGCAGAACTGCCGGAACTGGGGGTGCTCCATCACGCGGCGCTCCACAGCGTGGATAGTCCGCAGTCGCTCCGGGGTGAAGATGTTGGGGTCCCCTTCCCCCTGCGCCACGAACACCAGCTCCATCCGCCAGTGCGCGTGGCTCTGCGTGTACGAGGGGATGACGAACTCCCCGTGCGGGTAGGCTTCGCGGGGTACCCTGGGGCGCACCCCATCTCCCTCCTCCTCGCTCTGTCTGTCTCTCTGGGGGCGATCGGGGGCCAGAGCCTTCCTCTCCGAGCCGGAGCCTCCCTCTGCTTGGCCTGGGCAGGGTCCAGCTCTGGGTCCAGCTCTGGGTCCAGCTCTGTCTAAACGGACCAGTTTCCTCACCCCCTCTGACACTGGGAGAGTTCCTTTGACCCCACTGCAATTAACACTATCTCTACCCCCACTGAAGCCCGTCACACGCTGTCCACTCCCTGCTGGGGCACCTCTCCTGTCACTCAAAACCACTCTTCCCTCTGAGGCTCCTGAAGCTCCTGAGGATCCCCCTTCAGCTGCTCCTCCTCCACCTGACATCCCGCCCCCCTCCGCAGCCCCTCCCCTCTGCCTCTGCAGGTGCTGCAGCAGGAGGTCCCTGAGGGCCTGGGCGGTATAGCCGTCCACATCGCGCCTGCTGCGCCCCCAGGACCCCAGCTCCGCCTTGAGGGCCAGGGTGAGGGCGTCGAACCGCTCGGAGGAGGTGTGGCCACGCACTTCGAAGGCACTGTAGGACAGGTCGATGTCCAGGGGAGGGCATCGCAGGAACATGAAGGCGGAGAGAGCGCAGGGCAGCAGGACGCCCAGGGCTAGGACCAGGCAGCACGCCCACGGGCGCGTGTACACCCAGCCGACTGCCCCCCACACCCAGCGGCTGCTCCCCGCTGCTCTGGGGGGCACGGTCCCGGGGCTGCCCCCCTCCTCCTCCTCCCCCTCCACCCCCTCATCTTCCTCGTCTTCCTCCTCCTCCGGCCAGTCTGACTGCAACATCGAGGGGTCGTCTTCGGAGTCCATGGCCAGCCCTGCGACACAGCGAGACAGACATCAGCTGCGGCCCCCCCCCGGACGCAGAGAGGCTCCGGGGGGAAGGAGCTCTACAGCTGTGCCCGACTCCGCGGGGCAGAAAGCCTCATGCCGTGAAACAGGAAGTGAAGTCGTTCTGCCAAGCAGAGAGAGGGAGACAAGACCAGCAGCTAGCGGCTCCGGGTTCGAGATGCCACAGATGTGCTACTGACACATGCAGCTGCTCGGCCGTCAATCCCAATAACAGGCCCTTTCCTTGGGAGGACACGCACAGACGTCCCCCCCCCCGGGAGGGGGCACCTGTGCCCCGCCCTGCCCGGGACGAACCCACCCGTGAGGAGAGGGAGAGGTCAGCGTGTCCGACCCTGGCGCGCGGGCGAGCTCGCGCTCTCGCTCCGGTGATCTGAGGTGTCCTTGACAGACAATCAGGCTCGCCTCGAGATAAAGGCATGCCGTGCTCTATCTGCAGAGCGCGTGGGCTGCTCCCGTGAGCAACACTGAGCAACACTGAGCAACACTGAGCAACACTGAGCAACCCTCCGAAGGGCTGGGGAGCTGCCTCCTCCATCACAGGGCTGAGACCGCTACGCCAGACGTGCATGAGCGCCGCACACGCCTCACACACTGCACACGCCGCACACGCCTCACACACTGCACACGCCTCACACACTGCACACGCCACACACACACTGCACACGCCGCATAGAATCTACTGAGCCCTGCTTCAGAGAGGGGAGCCTGGTGCTCGTGCACAGTGAGCCCTGCTGCCGAAGCTGATACACCAGCTACTATCACCTACTAAACAGGCTAGCTGGGCCGAACGGTGCCCTCTGAACTGTAAGTGTTCTTACATTCTTAACTTCTAACATATATAGAAAACTGTATCTGGTATAGAGACTGGGGT